GGACAGTAAAGCTGATAATTGAGAACCTAAGGTCGAGAAGGGGAGAGTGTTGACACGTCGTGGGCTTGGCAACCAATGTCACAAAACAATATGTGTATTAATTGTTTAATGAGAAACTAGTTTGCTCTATAAACCTTCATCTAAAGTACAAAAAAAAATTACATCTGACATAATGGAATCATAAACCAAATATTTAGCAATGAAGGATGTAGAGAAACTGCCATCTCTGTGATTCCAGTATGTGGGTTTTGCTATAAACTACTGACATTTGTATTTTCACTTTTTGCTACAGCACTCATGAGTTCATGTTGCTGAAAAACGCTTTTTGTTTATTCTCAAGCTGCTTTGGCCCCTTTAAAAGATTCTTTCAGTGGGAATCAACTCGATGGTAATGGAGGTTTTACTTTCAGGAAAATGGAACTTGACTCTAGAAGATTTTACTTTGTAGACTGGGGCTTGGGGAGATCATGGGATTTACCCAGGGTCTCAGGGTTGGTGACTTTGTGGCTAGCTTCCCCTACACTGCATTGGGATCAGCTGGCTCCAAGGTTTTTGTTCTGTCTAGCCTCTAGACCACATTGTCTTCCAGATGAAACCAAAGTACTGCTGAAAGCCAGAAGAAACCTTTTCAATTCACGTAATTGTGCAAAGGGGTTGTTTTAGGCAAAACCAAGGAACAACAATAATAGACCTTTTCATAGGCAAGTGGCTTCGACCATCTCTACCTTTTGAACTGTTAACTTTTTTTAAAATAAAACCCAGTGCTGTCCAGCCGATTTAACGCATAGTGACCCTATAGGACAACAGAGCAGAACAGCCCCATAGGGTCTCCAAGGAGCAGTTGGTAGATTCAAACCACCGACCTTTTTGTTAGCAGATGAGGTCTTAACCACTAGCCACCAAAACCAAAAAAACCAAATCTGTTGTCGTCGAGTTGATTCCGACTCATAGCTGGACCCTACAGGACAGAGTAGAACTGCCCCATGGAGTTTCCAAGGAGCACCTGGTGGATATGAACTGCTGACCTTTTGGTTAGCTGCCGTAGCACTTAACCACTACACCACCAAGGTTTCCTAACCACTAGCCACCTGGGCTCCATATTCATAATAGCCCACAGTAACTTCATGATAATCATGCTTATCTCCATTTTATAGGTACTGGAAGTTTAGAGAGAGAAAAAACTTGCCCAAGTTCCCATGGCTGGTAAATGACAGAACCAAGATCATGATCCGTTCCCATTGAATATTTGGTAGAAAAAGCAACAATTTATTTAAGTTTCAAACATAATTATTTGCCTAACCCAAACTGACATCTTTTGAATTTGTGTTAAGATTCTCACACATTTCTCTCTTTGATAGTTTCAGATTACAGTAAATAAATTTTACATGTATTTCACAATGTTTCTTTTCGGTAATTCTATCTTACTCATAATCAGCATCATTTTAGAATTTTCCACTGAATTTTCAATTTGTCTATCTCAAGGCACCAGAAGTATTTAACAGTTCTGGAAGCAGAGAGTAGCTTTCATTCATATAAAAATATCTGATTCAACTAAACTAATAGTTTATGAATTCAATGGCATTGCCCTCTATGGTGTGTTTGCCAACACTTGTATACAGAACAAATATTATTTATGTTAAGCTAAGTAAGTATCTCTACCTTCAGATGTAATTTTATCCCGAAGAATCTTATTCAAGTTTCTTACAATCAATTCTTTATTGCCACATATTTTGTATTACTTTGTTACACATTAAAATATTTTCTGCTTCCATTTAGAACCATCTAAATATTCATGTTCAATTGCTTTTATTCATATATGTATAAACTATGAAAACTTTGATGAAAAATCTGATGAAACCCTAAAATCCCCCTCCATCTTGTGGATACATATGCATTTGCTTTTGGTTTGTAGGTCAGTTCCTATTTTAATATAAGAAGTTACTAGATTCATTGCAACTCAAAATATTTACAGTCAAAATGATAAAAATTCCTATCATCACCAAAAGTTTTTTTCTGCCCCCTGGTAATCTCTTTCACCTCTCCTTCCCACCCAGACAATTGCTGATCTGCTTTTGGTCACTATAAATTAGTTTACATTTTCCAGAGTGTTATGTAAATGGAACCATTCAGTATGTACCTTTTTTTTTCTATGCTTTTTCCTTTCTTTCACTCAACATAATTATTCTGAGATTCATCCATGTTTTTGCATGTATCAATAATTCATTCCTTTTTATTGCTGAGTAATATCCCGTTTTATGCATATACTATAATTGTTTATCCATTCATCTGTTAGACATTTGGGTTGCTCCTAGTTTTTGGTTATTAAGAAAAAAAACTGTTGTGAACATCCATGTGTAAGTCTTTGTATGGGCATTTGCTTTCTAAAATTATTTTTATTACGTATTTTTGAACACGTGCTTTTAATTGTGTTGGGTAAATATCCAAGAGTGGAATGACTGGATCATATGGTAAGTGTATGTTTAATTTTTTAAGAAATTGTCAAACTATTTTCCAAATTGGCTGTAGCATTTTACATGGTGGAAATAGCAACAATTTATCTAAGTTTCAAACATGTTTAATTGCCTATCTCAAATTCCTATTAGCAGTGGATGGAAGTTCCAGTCCTTCAATCCTGGCCAACACTTGGTATAGTCAGTCTTTTTAATTTTAACTATTCTAACATGGTTGTATATCACTATGGTTTTAATTTCTATTTCCCTAATGACTAATGATGTTTAGCATTTTTTCATATGCTTACTTGTCATCCATATCTATCCAAATCTTTTGCCTATTTCTAAAAAAAAAAAAAAATTTAGTCCCTGAGGTGTGATTAATTGCTTTTGTGTGTGGTGTTTCTAGCCATGGTCTTGCAACTCCCACCCAGGTGATTTTGTGATAGGGTAATTGTGGTCTACCAAGGGAATTGGCCAGTTTTGCCTTGAAAGACAGCCAATTCTAGAGCAGAGAAGAAGAGCCCACCACCAGGGAAGGAGAGACCAGCAGGAGAGCCCAGCAGCAGAGACCCGGCGTGGTGGGCTTCCTGGCCTGTAGAGGGAGAAAGCTGAGGGCCTTTGGGCAGAGACTGAGGGCCAGGAAGAGACATGCTTGCAAGCACAGCTGGGGAGAGGCTATCCTGATGGAAGAACTGTATCTTGAGTGTTCTTGAGCCTGAATTGTAACTGTTACTTCCCCAATAAACCCCGTAACTGTGAGTATGGTCTGTGAGTTTTGTGTGGCCATTGCAGTGAATTATTGACCCTAGTAGAGAGTGCTGTGCAAGGGACGGTTGGTGTCAGAATTAGTAAAGATGGCAGAGACAGGAAGCTTGTCTGGCCTGCACCTCATGAAAGTCAACCTTATGCTGTTGATCTTGGTTCTCCTTCCCACTTGTGGGGTTGGAGGAGGTTAGACACCTCCCCAGTGCCGTTATCACTGTCCCTAAAATAATACTGGTTAGTATATTCACAGAATGGAGTCCCTGGGTTGTGCAAATGCTTAACGCACACAGCTGATAACGGGAAGGTTGGAGGTTCAAGTCCACCCAGAAGTACCTGAAAAGAGAGGCCTGGTGATCTACCTCAGAAAAATCAGCCATTGAAAACCCTATGGAACACAGTTCCACTCTGACACACGTGGGGTTGCCATGAGTCAGAAGGCAAATGGGGATATTCATGGAAAAAGACCTGGAGGAATTTTCCCCAAACTAATCTGTAGATAGCAGAATTAAAGAGAAACTTAAATTTCTAAGTTATACAAGAATTTATGAAATGTTTGAATGCTTTTTCATAACAAGCATGTATTATTTTTATTACTGAAAAAAAAACAAGGTTTGTTTTTGCAGAACCTGCATTCAAGATAATCTTTATAGATATGGTGATCTTGGTGAAGAGGGTTCAAAGAACCATTTTGGAATAATGGGAACTGGACTTCCATACAACTACCTTTACCGCATCTCACACTGCATTATAAGGACGCTTCCCGAGGAACAGGACATCTGGTGAGAGGAGAGGTAGTGCTGGAGCTGAGTTTTGACTCGTTTTGGTTTTGCTGTGCAAACATGTGGGGCTGGGGAGAGGTTGAGCCAAGTGTCTGGAGAGACTGAGGTGATTTCTGGAGAGAGATGAGAGAATGAGAAGAAGGCTGCCATTGGGTAGGAACTTTGGAAAAGAGTAGAGAAGTCGAAAGAGAGGGGGTTAGGAGAGGTTGTTATGTGCAGGAGCCCTGGTGGTGAAGTGGTTAAGAGCTTGGCTGTTAACCAAAGGTCGGCAGTTCAAATCCACCAGCTGCTCCTTGGAAACCTTATGGGGCAGTTCTACTCTGTCCTATAGGGTCATTATGAGTAGGAATCTATTCAATGACAACGGGTTTGGTGGTGGTGGTGTTGTTATGTGAAAGGGCGATATAATCTTCTTCTTCATCTGCCCAGGAAAACATTGCTTAAATCAATATTATTATTCACTGATGCTTTTTTGGAGTTGCATTTTTGATTTCTGGTAATCTCTATGTTGATGTGGGGAGAAAGCAGTGGAGACCCAAGAAGGCCTTGTGGCATTCAGGTGACATAAAACTATTAGACTGAGAAGAGAGAATGGTGAAGAAACAGAAAAACATAGAGCAAGTGCAAAATCTAGTCTTAAGTCACTTTTTTTTTCACCCTGTTAAAAAAAATCCACTTGGCTAGGGAAAATGAATGAAGTAAGGCATCCTGTATCAGTCAGGGGCCTGGCAAAAAACACAGTCAAAAGGTAATTTTAAAAAAAATGGTAACAAAGAGACTGTTTACAGAGATGTGGTCAAGGTTAAGGAGTCTCTGGGTGGTTCAAACAACAAACATGCTTGGCTGTTAACCAAAAGGATGGAGATTTGACTTCATCCAGAGGTGCCTTGTAAGAAAGGCCTGGCAAACCAAAAGGATGGAGATTTGAGTTCATCCAGAGGTGCCTTGTAAGAAAGGCCTGGCAATCTACTTCTGAAATGTCAGCCATTGAAAACCCTATGGAGTGCTCAGTTCGGCAGCACGTATACTAACGTTGGAACGATACAGAGAAGATAAGCATGGCCCCTTCGCAAGGATGACTCGCAAATTCATGAAGCATTCCGTACTATTGGCAGGATGAGAAGGCAGGAAGGGACAGGAACCGGTTAAATAGACACAGGGAACCCAGAGTGTAAAAGGGGGAGTGTGCTGTCACATTGTGGGGATTGCAACTAATGTCAGAAAACAATATGTGTATAAATTTTTGCATAAGAAATGAACATGAGCTGTAAACTTTCACCTAAAGCACAATTTAAAAAAATAAAACACACACACACACACACACACACACACAACACTATGGCGCACAGTTCTACTCTAGCACGCATGGGGTAATGGGTCACCATGAGTAGGAATGGACTCAATGGCAACTGGTCTTGTTTGTTTGTTTTTGGTCAAGGTTAAGGGAAATAAAGCTTGATGACACAGCAGGAAACCATTACACCTAAGCTTATGGGGCAATGGGAGAGATCAGCTACTGGAAATTGAAAAGAGTAGCCTCTGAAGGAGAGGGGTCGCCTGACAGGAACGTGGCTTTAGTTGGAAGCACACAACCACTGCCATACTGTGACCCTGGAGGAAGCGAGCCAGGCCTCTGCTCCTGCCTGATGATTTCTGGAATCCAACTGGAAGCCAGAAGACAGGGAAACCTTATGAGGTATTCCACACAGGTCAGTTCCAGAGGCTCAAAGCAGAGCTGGGAAGGATAGATAGTGAATCTGGTCTGGCGATGCAGCAAATGGAAACTATCCAAGAATAGACTTTCAACAAAGTTCTATTTCCCTCTACCTTAGCCCCTCCAGTTACCCACTTCTCAGCTGCTGTTGTTGTTAATTGCCATAGAGCTGATTACAACTCATGGAGACTCCATGTGCGCAGAGTTGAACTGCTCTGCCTAAAGTCGCAAAAGACGGTTTCATCCTAGAGACAGGGTGCTCCAATTTCTTTTGGGTCACAACTCCAAAAACTACACAGATTTGCATAAAATAGTTTTTCTCCTCAGAGACAGAGAACCAATGGTTTATTAAACAAAGAATTGGCTCTTTCTCATTATATCCGTGCAAAAAATAGTGGCTAATGTCTGAAAATTTAAAAAAAAATCTAATTTGTGAGCCCTGATGGCTCAGTGGTTAAGAGATAGGCTGCTAACCAAAAGGTTGGTACTTTAAATCCACGAGCCGCTCCTTGGAAACTCTATGGGGCAGTTCTACTCTTTCCTACAGGGTTGCTATGAGCCGGAATTAACTCGACAGCAAAGGGTTTGGTTTTTATTTGGTTTGGGATTTAAAATAAGAAGAAATTCAGAAGGAAATTTCTGCTCAAAAGGAAATTTCCAAAAAATACTTCTTTTTTTCCCCAACCTCAATAAAAACTTTAACGTTTGGATTGGTCACTGGCATGGTAACCCTTGTCATCTTTGACATTCCACAGATGTCAGCTCTAACACTGATGACAGTAAGTCATGAAATCCCTGACTTACACGGGTAGGTAATGGCAAATGGAATAAAAATTTCCATTGCTTGCTTTTCCAGGTGAGGGTCAGCTTGTGTAAAAAAATAAAATAAAATAACAGAATTCTCAAGCACTCTTTGAGTTGGATTCCATTTGTAGCATTTCTTTGTCCTCCAATCATTGAGGTCATCTTCATTAAGGTCTGCTAAATTGACGCTGTCTACATGGTATTTTGAGCAGAAGTAACCTGCAAAGAACTCAGCAGCATTTCCAGAGTTTACAGGTTTGTTCCTGCAGAGGGATCGACACTCTAGAGAGTAGCTGGCAGAACTTTCCCCAGATCTGGAAAGTTTCCATCGCTGTCTACCTCAAATCTTCATTCCAGAGAGGAAACTTCCTCCAAAGACTAGGTAGTTTTCCAACAACCCCCATAATAGTCAGTATAGGACCTCGAGTTAGGAGTCTGGGCTTTAAGTTTAGACCGGCTGATTGAAAAGCTTGGCTTACTAACCATGATAACTTAAGCAAGTGACTTACCTCTATATGCCTTGATTTTGCTCATCAGTGGATAATAATAGTATCTATTGGATAAGATTATTGTGAGAATTAACTTCATTCAGATAAAGATTAAAATAGCTCCAGCTACATAGTAGGCATTCAATAAATCTTAACTATTATTGTTATTATTTAAATGCCTCCATATATCTGCAAGGCTGTGAATAAACTCTTGCCATTCATTCTTCTGTTCATTCGTGTATTTCTGAATATTTGTTGAACATCTACTCTGTATTTAGTACTGTGCTATATGCTAAGGATAGATACAAGGATCAGCTAAAATAGAATTCGTCCCTTGCCTCCTTGAGCCCACAGTCTAGTGGGGAAAACAGATGTTAATTAAACAATCACAAACACAGATGTAAAATTGCAATTGTGGCAAGTGCAACGGAGGAAAGCTACATGGTTCTACATGAACGAATAATGCAGGGATATGACCCTAAAGGGAGTCCCTGGGTGGTGCAAAGGGTTAACGCCACTCGGCTGCTAACCAAAGGGTTTGAGGTTTGAGTCCACCCAAAGGTGCCTGTGAAAAAAGGCCCAACGATCTACTTTAAAAAATCAGCCACTGGAAAAACCTATAGAGCAGAGTTCTACTCTGACATACATGGGATAACCTTGAGTCAGGATAGTCTCCATGGCAACTGGAGAGAGAGAGAGAGAGAGAGAGAGAGAGAGAGAGAGAGGAGAGAGAGATGACTTTAAAGAAGTGTTGCTAAATCTGGGATCTTAAGTCTGAGAAGAAGTTATATAGACGTTTTCTACCTCAAGATCAATTAAATGCACTTAGACTTAGGTGGTGCAAATGGTTAAGCACTAGACTACTAGCCGAAAGGCTGGCAGTTCGAACCCACCCAGGCTCCTGGGAAGTCCGGCCTGGAGATCTGCTTCTGAAAGGTCATAGCCTTGACAATTCTATGGAACAGTTCTGCTCTGCACTCATGTGGCTACCATGAATCGGAATTGAGTCAACAGCAACTAACAACAGACTCAACTTTCAGACAGTTGGTGGATTTCTGTATAGGAGAGGAAAAGTTCATATTCTACTTTCTTAACAAAACTCCTTGAAAAAGACAGAAATTCAAGACCCTGATACAGATAAAGTTGTTGACTTTTGTGATGGTATCTTAGTCATCTAGTGCTGCTATAACAGAAATACCACAAGTGGATGGCTTTAACAAAGAGAAGTTTATTCTCTCACAGTCCAGTAGGCTACAAGTCCAAATTCAGGGCATCAGCTCCAAAAGAAGGCTATCTCTCTCTGTCAGCTCTGGAGGAAGGTCCTTGTGATGTATCAGTCTTGCCTTGGTCTGGGAGCATCTCAGCACAGGAACCTCAGGTCCAAAGGATGCACTCTGCTCCCAGCACTGCTTTCTTGGTGGTGTGAGGTTCCCATGTGTCTCTGCTCACTTCTCTCTTTTATATCTCAAAGGAGATTGGCTTAAGACACTATCCAATCTTGTATACCTCATCAGTATAACTGCCACTAATCCATTTATTAGATCATAGTGATTGAATTTACAACTCATAAGGAAATCATATCAGATTACAAAATGGTACACAATTATACGATACTGGGAATCATGACCCAGCCAAGCTGACAGATACTTTCGGGGGACACAATTCAGTCCATGACAGATTGTAAGCAAAATTTCATTCAGGATTTGTCTTTGACACTAATGCAAGATAATCTAGTATGGATTGAATCTCAGTGAGATGTGGATTTCTTTCTTCACAAAGACAGAAAACCCAGACGTACTGTCAAGCATTTCTTATTCTCCAACCATGAACAGCACCAAGGCTTCTCTGAGTGGAAGTTTTGTTTGGCAAATAAAGTTTAAACAATTTCAAAACCACAGGAGGCTTCTGAACTTTCCAATAGGGCTCCCAAAATAGGAATCTTCATTTGATGCTGTCCTTGTGCAAATAACAGATGCGAACCAGGAGTTGGCTCTGCTTAGAGATGTCAGTACTTTCATCCCAATGCATGATGAAAGGAAATAGCAATTTCTCCATGATCTGTTTAATATTGGAACAGATTTTAATAATTCTGGACATGGATGAGAACATTGGACAGAAGTGTTTTAGTTTTTAATTTTTTTTCCAAGGCTTAACCATTTTCATTGCATATTGCTTCACCAAGGTCTGGCAATGCAGAAAACAATCTTGAGGATGGCTCAAGACAACACTCTTTGTGTTGGAGTAAATCCGATTTTGGTAAAGTTTCAATGTTTTCCAGTTGAACCTTTTTTCTCAGGCAAAAGAAACAGACCATGTGTTTTCACCACGTAGGGGACCACTTCAGGTAAAGATCTTGCCACACGAGATGCTTTCTAACTTTATGTTCCTTCATGTTCAATGATACAAGTAGAATCCAAGGATATATATCTATATGGGAGCCCTGGTGGTGCAGTGGTTAAAAGCGCTGGACCGCTAACCAAAAAGTCGGTTGCTTGAAACCACCATCAGTTCCATGGGAGAAAGATGTAGCAATCTGCTTTCGTAGAGATTTACAGCCTTGGAAACCCTATGGGGCCTCTATGAATCATAATTGACTCGAAAGCAGTAGGTGTTTTGGGTATATATATGTATATATATATATATATGTTGTCACACATCATTTTTTTGTGATATTTCCTTGCCTAAGCTGACATTAAAGAATAAATAGGCAGATGTTCATAATCATAATGATATGTTACATCTTCAACTCATATCAAAGGATGGCCTGGTAGATACTACAACAGGCTACTGATGACAATTATAGGTTACCAAACTGTACAATGCTTTGATGCGGCCTTTTACTGGTTTAGTATGAAACAATACTTTAATAAAATTTTAAGTTGTACAACATTTTTTCCCCCAGCTATAATTTTAAATATTGGGGAACACATAAAAGAAAAAGCATATTTTTGCTCAGGTTTATAGATCCTCTGAAAGCCATTTATGGGCATCCTGGGTCACAAATTCCAGGGTTACAACCCCAGAGACCAAGTTTTAATCTTATAGTACTAACCTCTGTCTGTCTCTCTTTCCCTCTCCTTCTCTCTCTCCCTCTCTCCACTTTC